TAGAAAATTAAAAATTTGTAACAAATTGTTAGACATACACACCATTATATATATATATATAGACTGTTCATTAATAAAATTTATAGCATATGGAAGACATCTTTTTTGGTACAAATCCTTAACTTGTATGTCTAAATCAATATTCACTACGGTTTCTTAAAAAAATGATTGGGCATCTTTTTGAATCAAATACACATTTAAAAACCTATTGATCAGACAAGTTGTAATATGTTTTGCTTCTACCGAGATAGCTACATCATCTCAACAGAGGTGTTGGAATACATATTTGTGTTTATATCATTAGAACTTTGATTAAGAGCATCTCCAATGGTTTACACCTTTTTTTACACCAAAAATGGTGTTGGGTTTTGCTCCAATGGTTTACACCAATTTTTACACCAAAAATGGTGTTTGGTTTTGCTTCAATGGTTTACACCAAAATAGAATATTCTTAATATATTCTTTTTTCATTTTTTAAAATTTACAAATCAACCTCACTTATTTTTTTAAATTTAAAAAATTATGAAATAAATTAAATTTAACATTTATTATATAAAAGAAATACATTGTAACATATAAAATAACAAAATATATTAAGCTTTTGTTTAATTATTAAAAAACATATTAGATTTTGAGTTTAAATATCACAATTTGTATATGTTTTTATTAATTTTAAAATTGATTAAAATTTGAAGGACCTTTTTATAAATAAAAAAGTTCGACACCAAAATGGTGTTGAAAATAGTGTTGGGTTGGAGAGGGTTTTACACCAAAAAATAGGTTTGGTGTAGGATTTGGTGTACCATTGGAGATGCTCTCCAAGTGTAACAATTAGAGAATAATTGATGTTTGATTGTTTTTTTTCTCACGTTATTTATTATTTTGCTGTGATTTTTATATTTCACATCAATTCATTGGTGAAATGATTCTATTTTTCTGGATTTACAATTTGTGATAAAGTACAGTTTTTTTAGAGTATTGGTTAGAAAAATTATTTTATCCAACACAAATTGTTTCAATTGCATTAGAAGGTGACTGATAAATTGGTTTTAAAAACTATGAAAACATATAAAAAAATTTGTAAACTCTAAATTTTTCCAATGAGACTTGTTGGATTTACCAGTCTAAAAGTTCTAAAATCACTCTTTAATTTTCTCACATCATTTTTTTTGTTCATGTTTTCTTTTGTGATTTATATATTTTCAAATCAAAACTACCTACATAAAAGGAAAAAATAAATAAAATATGTGTTTTCTATACATAAATTTATATAAAAAGTTATATTATAAATTACATAAGAATACTATAAATTACACAAAACACTTAGTTCTAACTTGTTAGAATTAATTTACATAAAAATTAGCTATTAAATTGTTATAATTAATTGTTAAAGTTATTAAAGGAACTTAATTTTTTATTTCTATTT